AAGCAATGTAAGGACTCTATTCGAAATCAATGAGAAATATTTTCATTGCATTTTTCGCTTCATACGGTGAGCAAGAGAATGCATTTTATTTCATCCTCATTCGAAAACCATAAAAAATAATCCACCATCTAATTAGTAAATCTAAAAACCACACATATTTCGGAGCAATCAGAGAGATTTAGTGGGGGTACCTTCGTTTCTATTATGGTTTTTTTTTTCTTTCTTTACCATTCTGTTTGTGTGTGTGCATGCGGGTTCGAAGTGTTTAAGAGCAGGAAAGAATTGAAGGGTCGTTTACCTGAGGTCTAAATCGTCGGTGAGTCAAAGTAGTGTCAAGTGGAGTAGGTGGCCCGTTTTGGGGGTGATTTGGCTTTTGGTTTAGCAAGAATAGAAAGAGAGATAGTGGGCGTTTAGATACCTTTGAGGCGATGAGCTCCTGTCATGGTGGTTTAGTCGAGCGTCGGTTAGCAATGGTTTCCTTTGAGCATAAATACCATTCTAAAGTGAGGGGGGAGGAACCGAGAGTCTTGTTTCATGTGGACTAGCTTCAGTGTTTATTCTGTTGGAGTTGATGTTTGGTTTTGGAGTGAGATTACCATCGGTAAGTGGTGGCCAAACGTTGGCCATACAACCGTTTAGAGTGAAGAAGCGGTGCTAAGGGGATATTAACAATTGAAAACTAGGGTTCAGTTTTATCCAATATTTTATATATATATTAATGCATAAAATGGCAACAAGGGAGGGTTAAGTGCGTATAAAAAAAAACAAAGAAAGTTTACTTTTCAGAATCTAACCAAACCCACGTGAATTGGTCTTTGGGGGGTACACTATTTCTATAGTCCTTCAAATATTATGGGTAAATTCTTTCTTTAATCTTTTAGTTTTGATGCGTTATTCACTTCAGTCCATTCTTGTGTAATTCCATCTTAATTTCGACATTTAGTTTTAATTTTTATTATTTTAAGTATTTGTTTTAATTTTCAATTTGTATGTTTAATTTTACGATTATTTAAATTTATTCATTATATTAATATGTATATATAATTTTTATATAGTTTGGCATGTTATTTTTTTTATTATTTTTGTATTTAATTCAGATTTGTGCAATATATGTTAATATGCATAGTATAATCTGTAATTAAAATATATGTATATAATTGATTTGATTTTGAACCTACCTGTTGAAATCCTTAACCCATTGCCACCCTGTTTCAAATCTTATATTTGACTTTGGATTTCTATTTTATTTTATCTTATTGAATTATTTATTTTTTTAAAAAAAACTTTGGTTGTATGAATTATGATCCCACGTTTTTTTCCTTTATTTTGGTTCAACTAGTTATGTTTTCATATATGTTGCGCATGTCATTAGCTTCTTAGTTCTTACTTACTAAGTATTGTTTATATTCAGTTTAGTTAGTATATATATCTTTTTCCTATATGCGTGATGTACAAATGATTGTTTCCTATATCTTATATACACGTGCGTGTTATATAACTTGTAGATATATGTGTATATTAATACTATTCACATGATATTGTTTTTGTACAATTTGTATGATATCCTCATATGCATAACTCAACATTATGACATAATTGGATTAAGGGTAATACTCATTTAATTTAAAATTATTTTAAGTGAGTTGTCTTAACTAATTAGATATCCGCTTTTGACAATTTTAAATTAAAAGTGTATCCCATTAGTGGCACCTAAAAATTGATTCATCACTTTAAAATTTGGGAACGAAAGAAAATGAAATATTCGATTATTTAAATTTTTCGAGAAAATGTAGTTAGAACTTATCTAAGATATTGTCTCGATATTTTTAAATTATCTAATATTCTTTATCTTTCTAAAGGTTAGGTAATTTTAATTTAATCTATTTTGGTGCTTTTAAATATTGTAAAACTCGTATGTTGTTGTTTTTTTGGGGATCATAAATCAAATTAAAATTGAATTTGTAAATTTCATTGCAAAGATGTTAATTAATCAACTAGGTACTGATTTAGGGCGTTGTGGGGATGCTAATCCTTCTCCACGCGTAATCGACTCCCGAACTCATTTTCTGGTAATGCAGACCTCAATTTGTTGTTTTAATTAAAATAAATTTTTATTTAAAATGACAACATTTTTGGGTGCCCAATCACACCCTAATCAAGGATTGATGGCGACTCCTCAAACCGTATTTATTTAAGAAATCCTAAATTTTTCGAAACAAGAGGTTTTTTAAAATCACATTGTTTTTAATTAAAAAAATGGCAAAGAGAAATTAAAAATGACGTGATTTTCAAAATCTCGCTCCTAAGAAAAAGACCGTTTCGACAGTCAGAATCAACATACCCATTGATAAGTAAGTTTGATCCTCCGTAATATAATGCAACATTTGAGGTCCATTTGATGTATCTCAAGATCCTCTTTATGTATTCCAATGCTCTTTGCCTGGATTCGCCATGTACCGACTAACCACTCCCACTGTTTGTGCAATATTTGGTCTTGTGCATATCATGGCGAACATTAAACTTCCCACTGTCGATGCATACGGAAGTCGAGACATCTTCATCCTCTCTTCTTCACTATTAGGACTCATACTGGAGGATAATTTGGCGTTAATAGGAAGAGGGGTAAAAATTGGCTTACAATCTTACATGTTGAATCGTGACAAGATCTTCTTTAAGTAATTCTTTTGTGAAAGTCAAATTTTCCTATTACTTTTGTCTCGATGAATTTGCATCCCAGAATCTTGTTTACTGATCCCAAGTCCTTCATTTCAAATTCCCTAGCCAGTTGTGCCTTCAATTCTTCAATATGATCTTTGTTGGGTCCTGCAACCAACATGTCATCCACATATAACAGTAATATAACAAAATCATTATCACCAAACCTCCTGAAATAAGCACAAAAATATGTATTAAGTCTGTTGTATCCAAGACACATAATGAAGGAATCAAATCTCTTATACCAACACCTCGGTGCCTGCTTTAGACCATATAGAGATTTGTTCAACCTGCAAACCAAGTTCTTCTTTTCTTCTTCTTCAAAACCTTTAGGTTTAAGCATATAAATCTCTTTTTCAAGATTTCCATGAAGAAAAGTTGTTTTAACATCTAGCTGCTCTAGATGTAAGTTCAATGAAGCACACATTGCCAGACTACTCGAACTGTTGTTAGTTGAACTATAGGAGAAAAGATTTCATTGAAATCAATACATTCTTTTTGTGCATATCCTTTGACCACCAATGTTGCACAATACCTCTCAACTTGATCGTTATCATTTCACTTGATTTTGAAGACCCATTTGTTAACAATTGGCTTCCTTCCATGTGGTAGTGGCACAAGGTCCCATGTATTATTTTTTATGAAGGGCTTCAATTTTTTCTTGCATCATCATCAACCACAGTGAAGCATCTAAGCTGCTTATTGCCTCCTAGTATGTTGATGGCTCACCATCCCCTGTGAAAAGACAGTATGTAATATTTCCTTCTATAACATAATCTGTATAACATAATCTGAGTGTCAATTGAGCTGGTTGTACTTCCTTGTATCTACTTTGTTGTGATAAATGGTTTTTGTTTTGTCAATTTAGTGATCTTGGTGATGCAAATCTATCTGGCCAATTGGTGCCGCAACTCGGGCAGCTTGCGAATTTGCAGTATCTGTAAGTATGGCTATTGGGTTTTTTCACATTCATTCAAACACACCAAGTAATCTCAGTCAATTGTTTATGACAGGGAGCTTTATAATAATAACATATCTGGGACAATCCCGGAGGAACTTGGAAACTTGACGAGCTTGGTGAGCTTGGATCTTTTCTCGAATGCTTTAACCGGACCCATTCCAGCAAGTCTGGGCAAGCTTCGAAAGCTGCGCTTCTTGTACGAACACTTTTCATATTTCTTTTAAGTACCTAATTCATTAATATTTCTTTGTGCTTTTGCTCTCGTCATACGTTTGTTTTAGCATATGTGGAAGGCCTTTATGTGTTGCTAGCTGAAGTATGGGTATAGATAGACTTAGCTGGTCATAATTGGATGAAGATTCCTAAAATTACTCGTTTATTAATAAGGCCTCTCGACGTCTAGCAAGGATGGAAAAAACAGAATAGCATTGGTTCAATCGAAACTCAAAAGCATATCTAGTTCATTGCTACAAGTTCAACCGAATATTTAGAAGTATAATAACGGAAGGTGTGATGAACCGTTCGTGAACCATTTATATGATGGTCGTTTATGTTTGTTTGTTAAAAATAGTATGAACAAAATTTTTATGTTCATTTAATAAACGAACGAACATGAATAAAGGTACGTTCGGTTCGTTTATGTTCACAAACAAAATCGTTTATAAGCTTTTTATTGGATCGTTTATAAACTCGTTCACCCGGTTCTCCTTTCCTTTTTATTTTTACATTTTAAATATTGATGAATGTAGAGACTATATTGAATATAAGATGAATTTTGGAATTTAAACTATGAAGCATGAAGAGCTTAAGGACTAGTGGTGTAATTTCACCATGTTTCTTTGCATGAAATGAACGTCAAACAAACATCTTTACTAAGGCTAAACGAACGGAACAAGAATACTTTTAAAAATAAACAAATGAACACGAATATGATATTACAAATTTAAGCAAATAGAACATAAACACTTTCAAAAATAAATAAACGAACACAAATATAACATTATTCGTTCAAATCTGATTCATTTACATCATACGAAGATTACCTCATTCATCTCCTCCCATTCTGATGTGGATATACTAGTATATGTGCTCTATCATGTTACCAACGTGCAATGTAATTGATGCTTTCTTTTTGTGGAGCAGGCGTCTCAACAACAACTCGTTGACAGGTCAAATTCCTATGTCCTTAGCCACTATTGATTCACTGCAAGTTCTGTTAGTGTTGCTATCAGAAAATTTTCTTTTCTTTTCGAAATTAGCTGTATTATCTTAGCTTCAAGAGCACAATATATAATGGGGTGGCTTATTTGATCATCTGATGCAGAAATCTTTCAAATAATCGGCTAGAAGGAGATATTCCAGTTAATGGTTCCTTTTCACTGTTCAATCCTATCAGGTTTTTCTTTTATGATATCACCCTCTAACTCATGACCCTCGCCACCATTCTTGTTCTCATTTTTTTCGTGGTATAATGTCAAAATTAGCCCTAACATTTATCAAAACGATTATTTTGACTAGACTATTTTTTTTTCCTGAATTTTGACCTCTAATACATTATTTTGGGGCAAGATCCCTAACATTTTACCGAATAGTCACTTTGACTCTTATTCTTTATTTTTAGAGTATTTTGGCCTTCAAAGTTTTATTTACGGTAAAAAAGTCCTATTTTAAAGTGATATCCGTTTGTTAACTAATGTTTTTCATTCATAAAGAGGTTTTTTCCCACCAAAATGAAACATTGAGCTAAAATAATCTAAAAAAAATAAAGATCAAAATGATCATTTTTTATAAATATTAGGGTTAATTTTGATATTATGTCTTTTTTTTAATATAGTCATAGTGTAGTCGCCTAAGTTGCTGCACTATTTTCCACAGTTTTAAGAATAATGGACTCAATAATCCTCCTGTTGCTCCGCAGTCTCCTGTTATCCCGTCTACAGCTTCAACTTCATCAGGTATGATATATCTCCACTGTGCTCTTATTATCTCTACCAAACTTTGTGGCCTGCTTCTTTATTATTATTTGTTCTTAAGATATTTCTTGAAGTTTTCTCTGCATCTGCAACTGTTTTGGTGTTACCACATGTATGTAAAATGCAAATAATTTCTGTAGCTTTGAGTCCAAAATTTTAACGATTGCATTAAGATTTTTAAATAAAAAATGTAAGATAATTTAATTTTTGAACCTTTTAAGTACAAAGATAAAATCTCAAAGTTTATTCAAATACAAAGACAAGCAACATATTTTTTATGGAAATGTTAATAGTTGGGGTAAACTAGGTACTATCTATTCTTATGGTTTCGTTTTAGTCACTCAACTATATGTTTAAATCATATCTAATATTATGTTTTGATTATGTTTTGGTCACCTACCATTAAAAAATAAACAAAATAGTTGACATATTATTTATTTATTTTCAATGATGATCTATTATTATCTTCTGGTGACATGTCATCATTATTATTAATTTTTTATCGATAGATGATTAAGACAAAACTAAAATATAACATTAGGTATGCTTTTTATAAGAAAATAGTTGGATGCTCAAACGAAACTGCGAAAATATGTAAGAGACTAGATACATAATTTACCCTAGTAGTTATATATTTTCATTGATCTAACTTTGTTGTATGTACTGGCAGGCAGTATTGCCATTGTTGCTCGAGTAGCCCTACTGTTTTCTGCGCCTACAATTATATTTCGGGTAAAGCAGTACGTAAAATATTATTTTTCTTACCAGAAATATTAATATTGGTTACTTAAAATGTTGTTTTTTTATAAGAAATTAGGTAGTAAAATTAACATTTCTGGTAAAAAAAAAACTAATGTTTTAGATAGAGCTTTACCGAAAATGTTAAAAATATATTAATATTTTCGATATGAAATTTCTTTAACTGTATGTTAAGATTGTCGTATAGTATAACTACCCGGCGAAAAAATAGCTCACCCGAGTAGAATAAGACAAATTAATTTTAATATAGTTTATTTTGTAAATTCATATTCTTGTTTTGCGTAACGATGTTCGAGTGTCCATCGTAATTGGGAAATATTTAATGTTCTATTATATGATGCTTGAGTTGTTAAAATATTTATAGACTAAACTATAAAAAATTTATTAATGTTTTAGAAAGTTTTTTTTTCACTATAATTTTAAAAATAATAAATTGATCGTTGACATTTTTAATTTATAATAAAATGGCCACTCCACTATTATTCCTGTTAAATTGATAACATAACAACGTTGGAAAAAGGGTTAATATTTATTTTCACCCTTAACTATTGTTAAAATATCAAATAAATCCTCAAATAATGATTTTGTTTTTAATTTATCCCAAAAACTTTCTAATTTTCAATTTTTTTTCAAACACCTCACCACCTCTACTATATTCAAACCACTCTCTTATAAAATGAACCACGACATAAAAATTGAAGTACGAATCACAACCAATGAAGAATATGCTACATTATTTGCATTCATTGAATCAACATCAGTGCTTAAAAACAAAAATGAAAATATGCATTCATTCAGAAGAAATAAAAAAGCGTATCAATGAATTTACAAACCTGACAACCTTGTGAGGAAAATCATGGATTCCGTGCCGAAGAAACCAGTTGTCTATTAATCTATTATTTGAGTTAAAATTAATTTAGGGTTTATACTTAACTCCTAAAACAAACACTGAAAAACCAAAACTATAAGCCAAAGAATATTACATCGTAGGTTTTCTTAATACAAGAATTACAGAGATGGTTTTGTTTAGAATGATCCTTTGCAACAAGAAATATGAAAAACAACAAAGAGAAAATACCCATAGTAGTCATGTTATCTACGTACAAAAAGAAATTAAATATACATACATACCTACATACCCCATGGGCCATGATGTTGTTGTGTCAAATTTACATGTGTCATGTAAAGAATACCTCATGTTCATTCAATTAAAAATGGATTACAACTGCATAAACACTAGCTATATTGAAACTAACTAGCTAACAAACTAATTCAATTGAACCATCTTTCAACACTCCCTCTCAAGTTGGTAGTCTAAAGATGTCTTTGACTCCCAACTTGAACAACAAATAATCATGTTGCATTGCTCCTAATGCATTTTTGTCATAATGTCAACTAACTACTCTGTGGAAGATATATGACTCGTCTGAATTACTCCTTATATCTTCTCACATATAAAGTCACAATCTATCTCGATGTGCTTAGTCCTTCCGTGAAAAAATAGATTTGTTTCAATCTGAAGTGGAACCTTGTTACGACAGTAGAGCTTGGCTGCAGGTAAATCTTCAACACCTATTTCTTTCAACAAGCCTCTCAGCCAAACAACTTATGATGTTGTCATGACCATACTTCGATACTCAGCCTCCATTGATAACCTTATTATGGTGCTTTTTTTAACTTCCAAGAAATCATTGAGTTTTCAAGCTTAACATAAAATACAGTAACCAATTTACTAGTCATTGGGCATGCTCCCCAGTCAACATCATAATAAGCAACCAACTGAAACTGCCCTAAAGTTGACAACAAGATTCCATGTCCTGGATTTTTCTTAATGTATTTAATTACTCGAAGAGCTGCTTCCATATGACTCCTTGCTGGTTGTTGCATAAGCTAACTAAAGTGATGAACCATATAAGTGATGTCTAGTCTGATATGGGTTAAGTATACAAGTCTTTGTGGCAACTTTGAAAGACCTCATTTTCTTCCAGCAATTCTTGACCATGACTATCAACCACTCACAAGTACCATTAGACTGTAAACCAAAATCATGTGTAGTGAACTTAACATTCGGCTCCATTGGTGTGTAAACTAGCTTAGCTCCCCCTAAATCAGCATCCTCAACAAGTTCAAGAGCATATTTCCTCTGATTTAACAATAATATACATTCTTTGGATCGAAACTCTTCAAAATCAAGAAAGTATTTAAGCTCCCCTATATCCTTCATTCTAAAACTGGTATTTAGTATCCCTTTAAAATTATTTATCATGACTGCGTCTCTATCAGTTATCAACAATAATCCACATAAACAATTAAAATAACAATTATAGCTTCTTGTTTATTTGTAAAAAGACAATAATCAAATTTACCATGTATATATCCAAAATGAATCAGAGCATCAGATAATCTTACATTCCACTGCCTAGACGCTTGCATAAGATCATAAATGGACTTGCACAGTCTACAAATATTGTGTTGCCGCTGACTACATAATCCCTCTAGCATCCTCATGTATACTTCTTCCAATAAATTACCTTAAAGAAAGGAATTATATACATCCATCTGGAACAGAGGCCAGTTACGCAAAGAAACAAGGATTAATACGGATCTAACTATAACAAGCTTGGAATCCGACAAGAAAGTCTCCACATAATCTATTTCCTCCTTCTGATTACACCCTTTAGCCACCAAGTTTGCCTTATATCGCTCAATTGCTTTATTAGATCGTTATTTCACTTTGTACACCCACTTGCAGCCAATAGGTGCCTTACGAAAAGGCAAAGGAACACTCTATGTGTTATTTAACTCTAGTACTTGAATTTCCTCTTCTGTAACACGAATTCATAAGGGATTTGTAATGGCTTCAGAATAAGAGGCAATTCTACTACAAAAGTGGAAGAAGAAAGAAACAACTATGTATGTATGGGAAGATGAGTATAAGAAATAATTATAAAAATTAAATACTAACTAGAGGTAGAAGATTAGTAAGACACATACTCATTCAGACAAAGAGGAGGTTTACACCCTAGCAGACCTCTTAACAGTCTAATCTGATTGAGGTATGACATCCTAATCAAGGTGAATAACTTCAGAAGGTAAGGAAAAAACACCTGAAAAGTCCAATGGAACAGGCTGAGAAACGAAATAATTATTAGAAGTAAACTGTGAGTTAGTGCCAAAACAGACCCCTGTGGTGATGAAGGCGATGGTATATTTGTTGAAGCAGAAGAATTGGGAGACAAATGTTCAAGAATCAAAAACTGAGAATCATGAACAAAAGGTTGAGTGAGAAACAATTTAGAAGAAAACTCTGCAAAATTAAAAGGAAAATGGTTCTCATGGAAATGAACATCCCTATTGATAGAAAAAGTTTTAGAAACTAGATTAAATATGAGACAACCTTTTTAAGTGGAAGAATATCCCATGAACACTAAAGGAATATCTTTTGGAGAGAATTTGTCACTGTAATTGGGTTGACTGGTATAACCTAGACAATAAAAAAAAACCCCTTAAGTGAGATAAAGATGGAGGTTTATGATAAAGTAATTCAAAATAAGAGTTCCAACTAAGAATGGCAGAAGGCAGTCTATTAATCAGATAACATGTAGTCAAAACACACTCTTACCAAAATTTCAAAGGAACTATAGATTGAAACTCAAGTGCTCTAGCTACCT